TGGGTTCCTCACTGTCCCCTACTTCTGACCCCCACTTGCTGGGGACAGGGGCTCTCTGGCACTGGCCAGGGCAGCTCCCAATTAAACAAGTCAGACAGCTCATTCCCACTAAAGTGCTCCGTGGCCGAGTGCCAGTCAACCCACCCCCGCTGCAGGGCATGGCGGGGTCTGCTGCCTGGGGTTCAGCATGAGTCAGTGCCCAGGGGATGCCGCAGGCGTGACCGGCCTGGAGTCCCCTGGAATGCTCCAGGGTGGCATATGTGTTTTAGGCAGAGGAGCTTTGCTCTCTCTCTGGCGTGGCCCTCTGCCCCCACGGTTCCCTGATCAGGAGGGACAGGTGGTGGCTGTCATTCTGCAGTTGGCCTTGGCCTAAGAGAACTTGGCCGATGCTCTGGAATGGAGCTCCCTCCTGCCCCTCCTCCCCCCAGCTCCTTTGGCCTGGAGACTGCAGCTTGACCCGAATAGCCATGGGCAGCCAGCTCCCCCAGCCTGCCTCATCCCGCGGTCCTGGGGACTGAAATTTAATTCAGAGAGACAATAAAATCACCCTTCTGGAGGCAGTGGGAATCCTCCTGAGTGAGCCAAGAGTCCACGCTTACCCTCTGCTGGCCGTTGGGCCAACATAACATCACAGATTGTGTGGTGTCACTCTGGAGCTGGGAGGCCTGGGGAGAAGTCCACATCCTTTGCTTAGCTGTGTGACCTTAGATGAGTTCCTTGACTTCTCTGACCCTCTATAAAATGGGGATTATGATAGTCCCTACCTCCTGAAGTTGTAAAAAAAAAAAAAATTAGTCCATGTGAAGCACTTAGACTAATCAAGCAGCTTGATGGCCCCATGATCATTCATAGACTGGGATGGATGGTTACAGTCTTCTGAGCATTTAGGTGTAGTGGGTAGTGTGTCAGTCCCTGTTTCCAGACATGGAGACTGAGGCACAGACAGGCTAAGTTCCTGGCCCAGCATTTCGCAACAGCTGAGCAGCTGAGCTGGAATTCAAACCAGAGATGCCGGACCCCCTGGATCCCCAGGGAATGATGGGCAGAGCCATCAGAGGCTTGGTTGAGTTTCCACCTGAGGATTTATTTCAAAAAGATACTTCTGTCCCCAAAAGACTTTCAGGAAAACAGGGCAAATACTCTCATTTCATGATCCATTTAAAATAATAAGCATAGCTGGTGCTTATTGAGCAAAGTGTTCCATTTCTACTGTGGCATTGACATGGTTTAATTGTTTGGGTCCGGCCCTGAGGCCCTGGTGGGAAAAGTTTTGAGAACAGGTCACCCTCGCACCCCATCTCCTCTGCGTGGCTGAAGACGGGTGCCCCCGACAGGGGAGGACAGTCACAGTGGCGCCTTCCAGAGGCCGACACCCGGGCTTTGATCTTTGCACCTGTGGCGGGGGCCAGATGCCTGGTCCCCCAAACCCTTAAGTTTGACAAAGATAAGAAGCCAAAGCACAGCCTGTTTAAACACTGTACCGTTTCCTGGATCAGAGGGCAGGAATGGAGGAGGAGGGAGAGAGAACTGTCAGGGAGGGCAGAGGAGGGAGCTGTCAGGGCTGGGAGGTGAGGAGGAGCAGCAGCTGGAGGAGGGAGGTGAAATGGGTGACTTGAGCTTGGCTCTTCCTGCTTTCAGAGGGTGGGGCAGGACCAGAGGTGGGAGGCAGATCCTAGGTCTGATGTAGAGAGGAGGAGAGGGGAGTCGCAGGCAGGCAGGCAGGCAGGCTGGGGACGGTGAAGAAGGGCAGGTGAATGTGTGAACTAGAACAGCTGAGGCATCCTTTGGTGCCTGAGCTGAGTGTAGGCTACCCATGGAGCCCTGCTGGTGGGCACGCTGAGGCCCCCTGTTGGCCGGCAGTGGCTCTGCAGCAGCTTCCCCGTCTTGGTCGGGGCTCCCAGGCGGGTGCAGGGGTCATTGGGCATGCTGAGCGCCATCTGCGCAGGGATTCCGTGGGGGTCTGGAGGTCAGAACCCCAGCCCATGCCCAACTTTTGTGGTCCCCCAGCCTCCCAGCAGGGTCCCCATGAGAGATTCCGGCCTTCCATGCCCAGCCTGGAGCGGGGTGCTCCCCTGGACACTGTTCAAAACAGGCTACACAAATAGCTTCCAGGGTGCGTCTCATCAGTCCGGGAACAGCCCGAGCCAGAGGCGTGCCTGCCTCCAGCGCTGCTCATGCCAGGGGGGTTAAAAAAAGAACGGGGCACGCCCGATCTAAAGGCTTTTGTGGGTAGGGCCGAAATAATCAAGCCAAACTCAAAAGTCAGACCGCCAGGAGGGAGGTTGTGCGCTCTCATGGGGACACAGTCTCCCCACTCGAAATCATCTCCTCGAAGAAGCTGGGACAGGCAGCCGAGTCCCTGCCCTCCTCAAGGACCCTCCTTTTGCTGGGGGCTGCCGGGGCAGAGGTGAGTGGCACCTTGCCTGTTAAAAGGGTTCAATTTTAATGTCAAAGGCTTCCAGTTTGTTTTCCCAGACTGTGCGACCTGCCCCTCGTAGGACCAGCTACTGGCACAGCTGGGTCGGGCCTCCCATTGGGTCCTTAAATTCCATGGGAACTTGCGACATAGAAGTGGAAACTCAGGTTCAAGGACATGAAGACTTGCCAGTGACTGTTGCCCAGCTGGTGGCTGCCACTGACCGTGGTGGTGAGGGTGGTGGTGGTGGTGGTGGGGGGGGTGAGCTGCCGCGTTTGTTCCCAGGCAGGGCACTACATTCTTTGATGGAGAGGACTAGGTTAATAGTCGCTGTGAGCAGCATTTATTGTGCATCTGCCCTGTGCCAGGCAAGGTTCTGGGTGCTCTGCTCACTTGATCTGGTGATGCTAAGGCACCCACACTCCTGTGCCCACCTGACATGGTACTTGATGGAGACAGAGGCAGGGTCCAGTAAAGCCTGCATTCTGCAAAGCCACCGGGTCCCATAAGGGTCAGGCCAGTTGCTGGGTGTGGAGTGGCCTCCCCTGTGGGTGGGTGAGTGGCTGGCTGTGGAGGACAGGATGCCTTCCACTCTAGATCCCTCTCCGTCAGCCCTCTGGAACCTCCCCCGCCCCCATGCCCACCTCTGTCCCCCAGAACTTTCCCCTGTGCACTTTGCACTTGTTGATTTAGAAACAGACCCAATTTCCTGGAGCTGGGATAGTTGAGCTAAATTAGCACATTACCGCTGGTAACTGTTGTTAACTTTAGTTCTTTCAGGCTCTAACCTGAATTTTTGTTTTCTAAAGGCCATCAACCAACCACATTTCCTTCATTAGCAATGAGTAGTCATGAAGATTTGGTGTTGTTGATGGTTGGGTTCATGCAGAGAGAAAAAAATCAGTATTTCAGGAAAAAGTTGCAGAGAGAGGGAAAAGCAGGAGAGATGGAGAAAGGAAGAGGCAGGTGGGAGGGTGGTGGTGTTCATCCTTAGAAGGAGAAACTTGCTTGCACCGCCTTTCTTGACAGCACTGGCATACAATAGGTGCTCATTAAATGTTTACGCAAATGACTTGGTATTATAGGAGGCAAGAACACAGACTCTGGGTTTGGGTTTGAATTCAAATTCCACCACATACAAGCTGTATGAGTTTGGGTCATTTTCTTAACTTCCCTGGGCCTAAGCTCCCTCTCCTTTAAAATGGGCCAGCCTCAGGCAGTGGCTGTGGGGGACAGTGGAGTTCTGTTAGTTGCTGATGAGGCTCAGGGTCATCCTGGGAGCTCCGACCGGTGCCCAAGTCTATGTCCCACAGCTGTGATGAGGACTGAGTTGTTTTCCCAGGGCGGCTGTGAGAGGGCCACAGACGGGCAGGCATTTACTCTCGTGGTCCTGGAGGCCAGAAGTCTGAGATCCGGCGTGTTGGCAGGGCCTGCCCCCTCTGCGCCTTGTGGGGGGCCCGCCCTTGCCTCTTCCTGGGGTCTGGTGTTTGCCCTTGCCACTGGGCTCCTTGGCCTGTGGGAGTGTCACCCTTTGGCTTTGTGTGTGGCCTCCCTGTGGGTCTCTCTCCCATGGCAGTCTCCTTATAGGGACTCTTGTCCTGCTGGGCTGAGGGCCACCCGATTCCAGGATGACCTCATGTCAGTCACATCTGCAGTGATGCTGTTCCAGATAGGGTCACACCCTCATCTACGGGGCAGTGGGGTGGAGGGTGGGGGTTAGGACCTCCACCTTTCAGCCCATAACTGGGATGGGGTGAGTGGACCCCCAGCACTGAGCGCAGGACCTCGGCCAGAGCGGTGCCCTTTGGCAGGAGCAGTGCCCGTTGCTGTGGTAGCCCACCCTCACCTGCCTGCCCTTTTGCTGGGGCCCGTGGATGGCCCTCTGAACCTCTCTGAAGCTCAGCCTCCCACCTGTTCACCTGACGTGGCCTGGCTTGCTGGGCCGGGGAACTGCTGGGTCGTCCTTATTTGTGTGGCCTCTTATGAAGTGGGGACACCTTCCCAGAGCAAAGCCAGGGCCACAGCCTGGACACACAGTGCGCTCCAAGGCTGCCGCCCCTCCTTTCCCATCCTGCCTGGTGCTTGGTGGTTCAAGAGGGCAGATAGCCACTGCCTACCTAGATGGGAGGAGGCTCCTCTTTCCCTTCCCCAGGGGCCAGGAGGCACCTGCAAACAGGAGCAGCCTTGGCTTTTCCAGACCCTTGGGTTACTTTGCAGCAAGAATGGAAACTGTGTGTGTGTGTGTGTGTGTGTGTGTTGTTTCCAGTTGGAGCCAAACAGATCTGCTGCAGAGAAGTCTAGATATCTATGGAAACAGTACTAATTTTAGTCTTGCCACACTCATGCCAACTCTGATAGTGCTGTGTTGGGTCAGGGCTCAGGGAGCAGGGAAGGTGAACAGGCCGAAGGGTCATGTCAAGCCCGAGTGGCCAGTGGCTGGGGAAATAGGGCGGGTGCAGCAGAAATCTTAGGTGGCTCCTAAGAGAGGGGCTGGAGTGGAGCCTCAGGCAGGGCTGTGTCTGAATGAAGGGCGCTCCCCCGCCCCTTCACTCTCCCTGGCTAAACTCTGCTCATTTTCCTCCAGCCCGGCTCACGACCCTGCTTTCCGCGTCCTCCTCTCTGGAGTCCTCACTGCTGCCCTGGATTCCTGGCGTCTCTCATGTTCCTGTTGAAGTCCTGCGTTAGCCTATTTAGCTCTGTGCTTAACTCCTCTGCCTTGAAGTCCTGCCATTTATTTTCGAACCTCTCAAAGTCAGCCAGGGTCACTGTCATATCTGTATGCTGAGCCTGCTGTGCAGGGGACGCGCAGGACCCACACAGTGAGTGGAATTTGACATGACTGGTGATTTCTGGTTGATTAAACCAGGGGCTGGGCAGCCACGAGAAAGGGACGGGAAATAAGAGAGTCTAAAATAAAGTCTGCAGAAGCATCTTCAGTGGGCAGCGTTCACTTGGGGGGAAGGCAGTGGTCCGCAGTTGTATTAAGGACATGCTGAGGGAGGGCCACGGGCGAGAGGGGGCTGGTGGGGTGGGTGCTGGGGGTAGTGGGGAGGGGAGGAAGGGAGGTCATTCTAGGCCGTGCGGGGCATCGTCCTTCCTGCCCCGTCCTCCCACCTCCCAGCTGGAATCCTTGCAGAGTATTAGGCACTGGAGGACCTTAGATGGGGTCTTGTGTGTTTTGAAGTCAGATATTCAGGACCGATGTTCCTGCATCAATGCTTGCTCATCTGTTTTGGTGTGTATTTCTGAGTCCTGCATAACCCGTCATGTCCCAGGTGCTCCTGCTCAGTCGTGGTTGGAACCAAGGCTTGTGCCCAGGGGAGGGGCCGCTGGTGGGAATTATTGCAGAGAATTTCCACATGCTTCATATTCCATTCAGCAGACGAAGAGCAACGTGGTTATGGTAAAATTGGGGAGATGACGGACAGGAGAGCAGCACAGAGTGGGACTGATCCATGTAACCTTGGGAGCTGGGCAGGGCACAGGTAGGTTAGATGCCCCGGTAGATGCCACCACACTCAGGATTTGACCTGGGTCCCCTCCTCCTGTCTCCCTGCTCGGCATGCATAGCATGTGTGCAAGCTCCAAATTCTTGGGCACTACTACAGCTTGGATATGGCGTGAGCCTGTCCCCAAGTGTTCATGTTAGAAGCTTGGTCCTCATGTGGTGATGTGAGTGGGCCCTAAGTGGAAGGTGACTATGTCCCTGGGGACATTATCCTCTGAAAGGATGGTCTTGGGCAGTAAGCTAGCCTCTTAAGAGTAGTTTATTATATAAAAGCAAGACTGGCCCTTGAATCTCTGTCTTGCTGTGTGATCTCTCCATCTCATGGGTGATTCTGCCCTGGTGCTGTCTGCCATGTGTGATGTAACCAGAAGTCCCTCACAGAGCCAGCAGATGTGGATGCCATGCTCTGGGACCTCTAAAACTAAGCTGAATAAACTTCTTTATAAAGCACTCAGCCTCCGGCGTTTTGGTATAGTGACGCAATCGAGACTAACAGAAACACTTTATCTTGTTTAATGCAACTACTAATGTGGCTGAGCAAAATGAAGTTTTCCTTCATAAACAAAAGGGGAAATTGAGGCTGGGGGGCTGGAAGTGACCTGTGGAGGCCCACCCCCCTGGTAAGAAGTAGATTTCGTGGTCCACTGTGGCTGCATTCTGATTTAGGGAGCCAAGACCCACTGCCGAGAGCGTTTAGATTTTGGAAATAGAAGCGCATGCAGGGGTGTGGTGCCCTTTTTCTGCCCCGGCAAAGCTCCTCCTGGTGCGTATCAGCACCAGCACCAGCACGCAGCTGCTCAGGCCACAGGCAAGCCCAAGTGCTGGGCGGGAGCTTTCTGGGCAGTGGGACGCCTCGGTCCTGGGTGGCTCAGTTTGTCCAGAGCTGGTGAGAGGCAGTTCGGTCCTTGAGCTGAGGGAGCAGCCCCAGCTGACGGGGTGAGTCAGAGCAGAGCCCAGAATAGAAGGCAGAGGGCATGTGTGCAAAGGCCACCTCCATCCCATCCTCTGGGCTTTAGGATGCCTGTTCAGATGATTAAGCTTTTCTACATAACACTGTTTGCAGACTGCTTCATGATCATTTATTAGTGTCGCCTGGCAACGGCTCCCCAGATTAGCCACATGCATTCATCCGAGGGTGCTCAACGCTGGATCCACCCAGAGCCCCGTTCACTGCGGGGCCTTATCAGGCCCCCTCCAGCACCCTGCTCATCCGCCTCCCTTTCCTTCCGTGCTCCATGCACCACAGCCCTTCCCTGGCACCTCCCTGTGGGCAGCTTTGGTTTGGATGCTTTTTTTAATTGCTGGGACTGTTTAATGGTGGTGAAGACGGGCACGTTGGCATTCCTGTTGGCACCAACAGTAATAGCACCTCATTTGAGACTGTGAGCCCCAGGAAGGCAAAGCTTTCGTTCTTTATTTATGAATCTGGTACCTGAAAGAGTCCCTAGCACATAGTAGGTACTTTGTGAATGTTTGGTGATAAGACTACCTGCTATATGTTGGACTCCGCTTTTTCTTAAGTCTTTAATTTTCCCATGACTCTTCCTACTCCCCAGTAGAGGGACAACATTTAGTGTGTTGACTGTCACTGTATGGAAAGCACCATCATAAGCACTTGCATACAGATGATTCTCATCATGATTGAATTATAACAGAGAGGGTAAGAAACTTGCCCAAGGTCACACAGATGTATCCAATTCAAGCCCTTGATTTACCTCCATACCAGTGTTATCAGTGGATCATTCTCTGTGATGGAAAGGCTCCCTGTTTCTACTGACCGGAATAGGAGCCACTAGCCATAGACAGTTAAAGAAGACTTACAATGCAGCTAGTGCCCCTGAGTAACTGTATTTTTTTTTCATTTCAGTTATATTTTAATTAACTTAAACAGCTGCATGTGGCTAGTCCTCCCACACTGGATGCCACAGCTCTCTACTGTGCCACGTCTGAATAATAATGACAGCTCACCTTAATTGAGTGCTTACTACACGCTGAGCAGTTTCCAGATGCCTTCCAGAGTGAATGAGTTCAGTCCATCCTCTCAACCCCAGGTGGACGTACAGGGGTCAGGGCAGCTTCTCTACTTTAAAGATTTTACAGCAAGAACCTGGTGTAGCTAGATTCTCCCCCAGAGAGAAAGCTGCTTGACCCCAGAGTTTGAAACTACATATTTCTCTCTGTTTTCCATGTATACAGCAGTGGGCATGGCCATGAAAAATAAGAGCCCAATGTTCTACCTACTTGTCCCCAGAGATGGTGCTGCCCACTGCACATCCTGAGGACGGGGTCAGCCCCTGTGCAGCTTGTGCCTTCACTGTTCCCGTCAAATGGCTCAGGTAGATGGAAAGCTTTTATTTACATGAGATGAAGCCATGTTAGTGTCACTTTGAAAAAAAAAAATGCCAGTATTCCTTACCAGGATTCCTTACCAGAACGTCATGCCACACAACAAATGAAACAAAAACCACTTTGTGTAACGGTGAAAATATTTCAAGGTCAGGGTGGGAAGGAGAGAAGGCCAAACTGAAATGATCCGCAGTCTTGCTGGCTGGCACCAAGGGTTACAAGGTCGTGGGTCTGGTGACGTTTCCCTGTTCCCAGCCGTGCCTTCCTTCCTGAGGCTGGCTCATGAGAGGGTCTCTTTTAACTCTTGGGGTGATGGGAAGGGACAGCTGATGGAGGTTTGTGCAGCATGGGTGTGGAGCGGAGGTCACATGGAGGTCCGCCGTGGAGGCTGTGGTGGTCATCCTAATATGCTCTGCGTGCTGAATGGAGCTGACATCCGTGCCGTGGTGCATTCAGAACTGTGAACCAACCCAGCAGTGGGGCCGGGAACCTGGGCTAGGAGCAGACCTGGGCTAGCGGTGTCCAGGAGAGAGATGTGGTGAGACAGCTAGAGAGATGGTCCCAAAGGATGAGGCCTCATTGGGAGCACTGTACAAATCAAGGCAGCGACTGTGCCGCGCAGGGCCTGTGGAGGAGCACTGCTTTGTGTTCTGGGGAAAGGAACAGGGAGACATGGCCTTGGACTCTGGGGAAAGCCTGTTCCGAGGTCTTCGGTCGACTGGTTAAGTCCACATTCCTCCCACTGCTGACTCAAGGCAGTCATGCAGCTTCCAAAGCAAGCCCTTGGTCTGTTCTTCCATCCAGTTTTCCATCCATCCATTCAGACTTTATACATCTACCCATCCATCCATCTATCCATCCATCCTTCCATCTACTCATCCATTCATTCACCCATGGATCCATCTATCTGTCCGTCCATCCGTCCACCCATCCATCCATCCATTCATCCATTCATCCACCTACCCATCTATCCTACCCATTTACCATCCATCCATTCACCCATGGATTCATCTATCTGTCCATCCATCCATCCATCCATCCATCCATCCACCCACCCACCCATTCATTTATCAATCCACCCATCCATCTATCCATTCATCCATTCACCCATCCATTTATCCATTCTTCCATTCATCCATCCATCCACCCATCCATCTATCCATTCACCCACCCATCCATCCATCCATCATCCAGGTTTGAGTATCTCTGTCTGGTCCTGGGGGTAGCGTGGTGAATAGGACAGGCAAAGGAAGACTTGGAGGCTCAATACAAGCCCAACTACCCCTCACCCATGTAGCTTCCCCCAGCAAAGCTGTTTTCCCTACTTCCCCTCTTGTTTTTATCACACAGGGACTTTTAATCTGCACTGTGCTTGGAGTACTTGATTGTATTGAGCACAGTTCTTTATTGTAACCCTCCTAAGAACAGGGGCCCCATATCCTCCTGGGCTAATTGTGGGCACTGGTGGGGACTCCAGCATTATTGAGGTAAATAGGAGCTGCTGCCACCTGCAAGGGCTTGAACAGATAGCGGTGATCTGAAGGGTCTCCTTGACGTTCTCTACCTCCCATCTCCCTCCTGCCTCTCTCTCAGCAACGACCCTCAGAGCGGATTCCATCACAGGCAATCGCCAGGCAGTGGGAGAAAAAGGGGAGTGGCATCCTCCCGGAAGGCGGAGTTCCCGATTGCCTGGATATATGGGAGGCTTTAATCTTGCTGGGTTGACAGATGTGAGATGTCACATATTTACTTTGTCTTCAAGCAAACCTGTGGTCTAATTCGAGCCTGCTAGACAATGCATTTGACTGCCTCATCTCTCCAGGTTGCTTTTGGTGTATTAAGCTCAGGAACTCTGACTTACAGTGTTTCAAAAATAAAAGTGTTCCCATCACCCTTTTATTCCTAGTGAAGTTCACCAGGGCTCAGAAGCCCTTCTGAAACGGGGATGCACTGTCTGGGCATGAC